CCTCTCATTCAGGTATTGGTTATACTAGTTAATAGGAACTGAGATATGTTGGCATGTAGTGTAAGGATTTGTGTTAAGATAGCTAGATGGATCACTTGGGTTGTATTTATTATTTGTGGTAGCAAGAGCCAGAGACTTTGGGTTCTCCAGTGTTCTGGTTTTGTTTCCCCTCTTGACTGTGGTCTCCCTTAAATCACTTCCCCTGAGAGAGCCTGTTCAGGCAACAACTCTTTCCACTATAGAACTCTATTGGTGTGGTGGGGAGGCCTGGGGAATGCAGGTCTATTTATTTATTTGTTTGTTTGTTTTACATATCAACCACAATTTCCTCTCCTTCTTCTCCTCCCGTTCCCTTCCCCTATCCACTCCTCCTCCATACCCATTCAGAAGGGGTAAGGCCTCCCATGGCAGTCAGCAAAGCCTGGCATATCAAATTGAGGCAGGATCAAGCTCCTCCCCCTTGCCTCAAGGCTAGGGAATAAGTTCCAAAGAGCCAGTTCTTGCTTCAGAGATAGGTCCTGGTCCCATTACTAGGGGCTCCACAAAAGACCAAGCTACACAACTGTCACCCAGATACAGAGGGCCTAGGTGGGTCGTCAGTAGATCTTGTTTATGATTCTAGATCGGTTCATCTCTCAGTTGCAGGGAGACCGTCTGCCTGGCAAACTCAGTTATTGGGTCATTTGGCCAACCTCTTCTGGATGGAGTAGGAAGTATGACTTTTGAGCTCTTAACCTGTTGGAACTGAAGCAAGTGTCTCTATATGGTCTTCCATTATATAAATCATCACCTAACATAACATGAATATTTGAAAATTACTCAAAATGATTAAGCTTCTTCAATAATTTGGAAATAATATAAAAAGAGGAAAGCATCCAAGCCCCTGTTTGCTTTGTAGCAGGCCTCTCTGTAGTTGTAAAAGGTGGTGTGCTCGTGTTAAGCCGTTTGTGACTATAGTGAGTACCGCGGGAGGGAATCCAAGTAGCTTCTGGCTTTAATAGGTGAAGACAGCCAGCTAGTGTCTTACTACATGGTTTCCATTTTTCTCTGTCACTTGGCGATCATGGGTCTGGCTCACGTTAGTGTCATTTTATTAGTGCTTGGTCCTTTCATTAGCTGAATGTTGCAATTAACTACTCCCTGTGCCACTTAAATATTCTTCAAAGTACTTGGCATCTGCATAAAAATTCGTCACAAGGGTATGTCGTGTTTATTAATTCTCTGGCTATTTGACTATGATAATCACCCTATGCATACATTTTTATATACCTTCAATTTTCTTAGAATTTACTAGAAACAATTAGTAGGTAAAAGTTATTAATAGTAAGAATGTATTAGTACTCGTTTGCTTTCGATACAGGTCAACTGCTTAAGAGAACTCCCCACCCCCAGCCCCAGTACAGGGTCTTGCTATAAGTAGCCCAGGTTTGTCTCCAGCTAGCAATTGTCCTGCCTTAGCCTCCTTATTGCTGGAATTACAGGATGAATGAGCACACCACCCTGCTAGGTTTTTCTTGGTGGAGATAGCGTAGTTACTATGTTAGGAATGAGGCCGCCACAGGATTCATCTTCTTACCCTCCGTTAGTACTGAGGGGGACCAGCCCTGCCCTCAGTCCTGCTCTCACCTCTGCCCTCACCCCTGTCCTCTCTCCACCATCGCCTTTAATATGTAATGCACAGATTATTTTGTGGCATTTACATATTAATATGTTGAAGTTCTTACCTCCATGGAGACAGTAATAGGGGTTGGGGCTGTTGAGAGGTGATTAGGTCATAGCAGGATTCTTTTAGGTCACATTAGTGCCTCTATGAGAGAGACCCTGAATGGAGCAGGCAAAAGCACCTTGTCCTGCCATTTTATGTACTGCCATTTTATCTGTAGGGTGAAACAATGTTCAGGTTCCTAAGCCCTAGGGGAGCTGAGAACTTTCCAGTGGCTGACCCACCTCCTCCCTAAACCATAGAAAGAGTCATTATGCATCTCTGGTTCTCTAGAAACGTTACTGCTGTTCCCAACAATAGAAAGAACAAATGAATCTGATTGGTTGGACTGAAAGGCTTGCATTGTATGTCCGTTGACAATGATGGAACGCTCAAGGAAAGATTAGGGAATCTTCGATTCCTGATTGGTGAAAATCGTAACTGTAACTTGGCAACCAGTGTTTCTGACAAAAGTTATAAACCCCACTGCTGCCCCTGCTCGGGGCTGTCAGGAGAAACAAGGCTCTCGAATCCTTGTCCTGCAGCCCTGAGTGATCAGTGGCCCTCTTATGTGCTGATTTATTAAAGTTTTTGGAATTCATAAGTGTTGTCTTTCTCCTTCCTCATGGTGCACAACGAACTAAGACACATGATGAGTCTAATTGCCTGCAGCTCATGTCATTTAATGTCCTCCTGTTGTTTCAGCTTTCTCATTGACAAAATGAGGGTAGTAGCTTCCTTTCGAAGTGGTTATAAGAATCAAAACCTCATTCATTCAACTTTTACTAGACCGGTGTTCCGGAGTGTCTGTGTACGACAGGCCCTAAGCTGAGTCCTAGGATACAGAAACAAGCAAAAGCAGGAAAATATGCTTCGCTGTGAACTTGGTGTCATGGGAAGGACATCCATCAAGCCTACCAAGAAATGCAAAATGACTTGGTGACCCGACCTCTGAGAGATGCTGTGGGCAGATCGATCCCCAGGGGGCAGAGCCGACAGACTGATTTGGGGGTGACTAGTGGAGGAGAGTGGTGGAGAGGTGACATGAGGGGAGACCCTAAGGGTTTCGCTGGAAGGAGCAGTCCATGAAACATAGAAGAAAGTGCAGGGCAGGCTGAAGGTGTGAGCATGTTGGGGCTGAGAGGGGTCTTGTGACAGGAACAGGAAGAACAAGGGGAAACATGGTGCTAGACTTCCGGCTGTGGAGACCTGATGACCAAAATCAGCCTATGTTAGTCCCGGAAGAGCCTCAGCAAGTGGAGGGAGAACACCAGGGTTGCACAGACAGATTCACTGTGTAAAGTCTGAGTCCTGACTGCGTGCGTGTGTGGAGCTGAGGGGGTATAATGTGGGAGTGTGATGAGGAGGACCACAGTAAATTAGAGGCCAGTCTGGGCTAGTGTGAGTTCAAGGCCAGTTTTGACCACTTTCTCATGGTCCTGTCAGCTGGGTGCAAGACTGTTTTTCCCGAAACCACACTCCTGGCCCTTCTTGCCTCTCTGACCCTCTGGAGTTTGCTCACACTTGCTGGCATCCCGTTGCCTAGAGACACACTGCACAGATGTCAGCCTCCATTGCCAGAAGCATGGGCTTCTTTCCTCCCCTTTTATTATGCTAGCTGTCTCTTTGGATTAAGAGAGCACCTTATGCCAGTATGACCGTCTTACTTAATCAGATCTGTAAAGAGCCCACTTTCAAATAAAGTCACATTTCTAAGTACTAGAGTTAGGATTTCAATGATATTTATTTGGTCACCTTGTGAATCTGTATGTGTGGAGGGGGCGGTCAGCATCCTCAGTTCCTGATTTCCTGGGGAAGGTGTGTCTGGACACTAGGAGCCCCAGTACTGTGGGTTGGAAGTGCTGATTCCAGAATACAGTCTGGTTCTGCATGCACTTAGGAAATGTGGTATGAGTTTTATTCCTTTTTAGATACTAAAGCTTCAGGTAGGCACAATCTCATAGGAGCAGGGATCTGAACTGTGTGGGCACAGCACCCAGGGGTCTCCAGGCTTCCTTCCAGCAAGGAAGTTCAGTGTTGGAGGCACACTTATTTTACTTCGGGGTAGATCCTGGATCATGTAATTATTCTCCAATCATGTCCCTGGTGTCTATCCATGTTCTAATCATGTTGGTTTTCTTTCTTTTTTAATATTTATTTATTTATTATGTATACAATATTCTGTCTGTATATATACCTGCAGGTCAGAAGAGGGTACCAGACCCCATTACAGATGGTTGTGAGTCAACATGTGGTTCCTGGGAATTGAACTCAGGACCTTTGGAAGAGCAGGCAATGTTCTTAACCTCTGAGCCATCTCTCCAGCCCCTCTAGTCATATTGGGTATCAACACAGGACATCCATGCTTGGGTGTCACCACAAACTGCTGAAGTTGCCCGGAAGGACTGGATTTCTCTGCGTCGGAGGAGATTGCTGAGTGAAATGGGCCAAATGCACTTCAGCACCAGGGACTCTGCTGAGAAGGCTATTGGGATTCTGACCGTGTCCACCACACCAGACTCCTCTCCATTCTTGATTTGCCCTCCAGAGCAACATTCAATTTGGCACTTTCTGTGGAGTTGTGTATCTTGAGGAGCATGGTCTCGGGATGAACATATGTGTATGATTCCAAGCCCCAAATCCTAGTTTCCTTTTGGTCAGCTAGCATAAGGGCCCCCCAACCAAAGATGTCAATATATTAATTCTCATAAAACGAGTATTCCGCTGCGTGACCAAAGAGACTGTGTATCTAATGATGGATCACACTCTGAGATGGATAGTGCCCTGTGCTATTCAGAGGCCCATCTAATCACACAGGTCCTTAAAAGCAAAGAAATGTCCCCCAGTGTGCTGAGACATGACGAAGGACCAAGTGTCAGAGTGAGGTGTTGCAGGCTTTGAATACCGAGGGGAAGGAGCCACCTGCCAGGGCCTGCTGGGGCCCAAGAATTGAGAAAGGCAAGGAAGTAGATTCTCTCCCAGAACCCCAGAAGGAACACAGCTGACTGCCCACACTTGGTTATAGAACTTCTCAGCTGCAGAAATGATTCATTTTAAAATAAATTTATGAGGCGCCTCGTTGGCATAGCAAGTAAAGCACCAATCCCATAAGATCCCTTTACGGGGCTGCAGAGATGGCTCAGTGAGCGTTTGCTGCTCACACAGAGGACCTGGGTTCTGTTTCCAACACTTACGCTGTCTTCTGACCTCCATGAGCACCAGACAGTCCTGTGGTATGCATATACAGGTGCAGGTAAAACACTAATACAAAAGATAAACAAATCTAAAAAATAAAAAATAAAAATTTGTGATTATCTGTGAAATTAACATAAAATGAATGTATCCATTTTTCTAGCTGGCGATAATATTGATCTGTGGAGTATTTGAGTGGGTTCGCTGAGACGTGAAACTCCACGATAGCCACTTCACACGCTATCATGAGCTATACCATCCTGAGACGCTGGACTAGTCTTCCTTAGTTTCTAGCTTCCAGTTTTGACCCAGGTGAGTTTCTTAGCTGTTTGTGGGACATGTACTACTCCTTGCCATGCATGCATGCAGTCAACCTCTCTGGGGAGCTTGTTAAATTGCTGAACCTCATTTTAAACCCACTGATTTAGAGCCCATTTTTTAACAAGATCGCTAGGAGATCCATATGTACCTTAAAGCCTGAGCATCACAGGACAAGGTGTTTTCCAGCATCAGAGAGCTGACAGAATAGATGTCCAGGCCTTTCACATCTAGATTGTTACGTTTCCAGTTACTTCTAGTGCTCAGAGGATTGGCACCACTGGGATCAGTATATAGAGATGCTCTTCAATATGTGAGATACAAATCAGAATTGTAAAATTTTCAATTAATGTTTCCCTCTAAAGAGAACTGTCACACTATTATAAATAGTAACAAGTACTGTGTTCTTGAAGACAGAAGAATAGACATCAAGGAAGAGCGCAGACATGCTTTCCCTGCCCCTTCGTTATCGGTTCCCCGGTTCAGTTTCCTTGTGTACACTTGCTTAGCCTCTTCAGGGACGCCACCAGCTCGCGTCACTCTGAAGCCATCCCTAGACTCCTCTATGACCCTGGCACTTAGTCTTTGTAGCTTCCTGTTGTCTTCTCTTTAACAGGAGAGCCTCAAACACTCCGGACAATTATCAGAAGACAGATGAGAGTCTTTGGAAAGCTCAGAGCTCTGGGAGTCAAATAAAGCCTGCCCCAAATGGAGAGGTGTGTTTCACTCTACCCACTGAGGACCGTTTGTGTAGGGCACGTGCTTCCAGTGCACAGTGATGTGTGTTCATGGTAGCTACAGTGAGACTATTGGTTACCCGCTGCTTTGTGAGCTATCTTCCCTCTGCTCACTGAGATTCTAGGCTCTCAGATCTGTTGCGGGAAATGCCTAAAGGGGCCTCAGTTCGAATCTACTTTCTTGGGCATGTAGCTCAGTGTTAGAGTACTTGTCTAGTCTGTGTACAGCCCCTGGCTTGGCCCCTAGCACTGTCGGGGGAGTTGGGGGCTACAAGGAAGCAGAACTGTGTTTCCTCAAACAGATAATAAAATAACAATAACAACAACAACAACAAAGCCTGTTTGGGCCACCCTGCAGCCCGTTTATGATAGCCAGGCCTGGTGTTCTTGACAAGTTAATGCAGGCCAGCAGGTGTTCACACATAAAATTAAAAAGTCACTGGTTTCTGAGTCTGAGGCTAGCCTGGTCTACAGGGTGAGTTCCAGAGCATCCGGGGCTACACAGAGAAACCCTGTGTCAAAAATCCAAACCAATATAAAAAACAAAACAAAACAAAGACCCCTCCTGGTAAGTAGCAGGCATTTTTGCCAAGGCACAGTGCAGAGAATCATGAAGCCGACCCGGCCTAGCTGCTTGAGAGGTGTGTGTCAGCGTCATTGGTTTCTGAGGTTACTGTGAGCCTTTCGGTTCCTGAGAAACCGAGGCACTCACTCAGGCAGTGGTGCATTCAGGACATCTGTGTTTCTCTGTGTTCCTTAGAAGTTGGCAAAGCATGTGAAGGTTTGGCAGAACAATTAGTCTTAGACATTAATCTTAGATTTGCTTTCGAGCTGGCAACCGCCATTACATCACGGCAGCTACCATTGTACTCTGTTTTGATAAGTGTATAAAAAGTCTCATTGCTTGAAATAAACTCGTCTCTGCCTCAGATTTGTTGAGACCCATCCAAGCTGACCCTGTTTTAATTCTTACTGACCATATCAGGAGCCCCTGGTTGGGAAGTAAATGATGGCATATTTATTTATTCATCTACTTATCTATTTATTTATTTTTATGCCCTGGCAATGCTGACACATGTATGGGCAGCCCGTATATGGCGGTTCTGTTGAACTTGTCCATATTGTGTTTCATGGTCTAAATTGATGAGGACAACTGACCAAGTCTCTTCCTCAAGAAGGCACCAGATCTCATTACTGATGGTTGTGAGCCACCATATGGTTGCTGGGAATTGAACTCAGGACCTTCAGAAGAACAGGCAGTGCCCTTAACCTCTAAGCCATCATGTGCTGGCACTTACAGCACACAAATGCTCTTAAGGAGGACTCTCCAGGCAGAAAATCCAAAACAGAGACCTGGAAAATGAAAAAGTCCCATTTCTGAGAAGAAACTCCACTAACATCCTGGGACCCAGGTCAGACACTCTCTGCTGAGATCGCCAAACCTCTGCCTGTTAAGAAGGCTGCTACTGTTGCTCCATGTGAGGTGTCCAGGGCCTTCTGCAATGATCACCGCAGAAGGTGGACAAGACAGTAGCTGACTGAACCCAGTGGTGAAGCAACCTGCCCTCTGGTGATGAGCTTTGTTCAGCAAGCACCTACAGGCCAGTGCTTGTGAGGTACCAGGGATGAGGCCAGTGCTTGTAAGGTATCAGGGATGACTCCAGGGTCATATATTAAGTTGTTTATTTTTTCCGTGATCTTCCCTGTCGTTGAGACGAAATTTCATTACGAGAGCTTAAGCAGTTTGCTGGCGATCAGAAAGAAGTCACTTAGCAAGCAAATGGTTTAGGCAGCCACGAGCCAGGCTTCTAGCTCTGGCGTTCATGCTGTTTTGCCTTCTATCTAGCAGGTTCCTCTGTTCCCTTCTGTGCCCTCCTCCAGCCCCCTTCCCTTTGCTGCTTGGAGGGAACAGATGTCAAAGGACAAATGTTACCAAAGCAAGGCAGTAGGAAGCCTGAGTGGCTGAGCTGAGCACCTTCTTGCCTAATGCTATGTGGAGCTTTATGCTTTGGGGAGCACTGGGTGAGGACAGGGAGCCCAGTAAGCCTTTTTCTTGTGATTGACTACAGCTGACAGGGATTCTCCCCTTTCGTCAGGACCACACCACTCGCACGGCTAAGATCAGAGCGCCTCGGATCATGAGAGCAGAATCATGTGTGCTCCTGCTTTGGGTACGTGAGATCACGGGGCCGATCTGCCCCAGCTGTAGGCCTGTCTGTCCTACTGGGCCTCCTCACTGTAGCTTCTGCTAGCAGGGGCCACGGTACAGAAGTGACGGGAGCTTCCTGGAAGGAGCAGAGGGCAAGTGCTTAGCCACCGGACCTGTTCTCAACCCAGTTGCTGCCTTCTCAAGGTCAGGGTCTGAAGAGAGGTCCCCTCTGAGGGTCAGCTGCGTCTGGAAGCAAGGTTACACTGCCTCTTATGAAATGGGAGAAGGTCAAGAGGGGAACCAGGTGCTCACATAACTGGACACTGGTCTGCTTTTGGAAGCCAATGCTGCAGTGATGGGCAAGTGGCCTCCCTAGGGATTTATTGTTAGGCCAGAGAAAGTGGGGGCTCCCAGAGTTAGACTAGAGGGAGCAGTTAAACCAGATGGTCATGCCAAAAGTGATGGGCTTGAATAGTTACTTAACAGGAACTGTACTCTCAAAGAGAAGCAACTCGCAGTTCGAATTCACTGGCTTGGGACGTTTCATTTTCCTAGTGCTACGTGAAGACCAGGGGAATCCCTTAAAGAAGGAAGCAACACATTGTTAGGACTATTTCCTAACGCAAGCTCCCCGCCGCAGCAAAATTCCCAATCAAGCCAAATCAAAACAAGCCAAATTAAGAAATATCCAGGTTTAATGGGAGTTCTGCGCTCTTGGGTGGCCCCAAGGGGGAACCAGGAAGCCATGCAAAAGCAAGGCAGAAAAAAAGGAGACCACATGTTCCTCTTGTGGGGGCTCATTTAAATACCTGGGGTGTGGTCTTGACCCCACCCCCAGGGAGGGGTCAGGACTTGGCCTGCTGGGATTTGGAGTCCAAAGTGCTATCGGGGGTGGGGGTGGGGTGGGAGGAGCAGGGAGCTAGGATAGATGCATTTTGCTGGGGCCTAAGCTCCCAACTTGACACATATAGCTATAAAAATCAAACATGCCTCCTGTCTGTTCACAGACGCCTTGGGGATGTGTTCATTTGTACCATATGGGAGTGGATATGCTCATTTTTGCAAACTCTAGTGCTGAATGGGGGCAGAAAGGAGAAGCTGGGATATCTGCCCCAAATTTCCAATGGAGGGTTTCTGCTGGGAACTGTTCACATTTCATGAGGGGAAATAATCAATTGAACACACACACACACATACGCATACTGCTCATGCGAATAATTTTCTAACCAGAAAGCTACGCTGTATACAGAGGACTTGAGGTGGGGAGGAGCCAGCATGTTAACTTAGGAAGGCCTTAGTGTGACCAGGAACAACAAAGATCCAAGAGGTTGAAACTGGGGAGCAGGGCATAAGTGGCTTGTCCCTGGTGATGTAAGATAGAAGGGTCCCCTGCAGCTGCCTTTTTTTCTCCAGGTGACTTTAGGTATCCCTGATCCAAGGGTAGGTTGACATTACCCCCAGCAGGCATAGGATCAGAGCGAGCAGCTGAGTCATTGGGAGTTAATGCCAACTCTCTTTCCATCTTCCTTCTGGGAGGCAGTGTGCTGGCAAATGTCATCGAGACAGTGTATCTCTTGATCCCTGAGCCTCCCACTTCCATGATGAAGGGAATTTATTTTAACTTCATCTTCCATTCCTGTGTGTCCTAACATCTTCAATTGTGAGACTAGATTACAATTCATATTGCCTTCAGAAGAGCAGGAATTTACTGGCTCTCTTGGGGTACAGTGGCTCTGTGCACTGTGAGAACCAAGGTCTCAGTGATGGCAGACACCATTTTCTCTTATTTCTTCCCTCGATCCATTGTAATCTTGACTTCTTTGGCAGTTCAGAGAGATGTAATCTTTTTTCTTTTGTGGAATGGTCTCACCATGTATGTAGCCGGGTCTGAGACACAATCCCTCTGCTTAGGAATCTTGAGTGTATGAGCTACCATACTCAGTCATTCATCTTGATTATGGAAATCCCACCAGAAAAAGCAAACGCCTTTTTGCCTACTGCCCAATAAAGTATTATTGTGTCTTGTTGATTCAGTGTAATACAGACCCAATTTGAAACCAACCACTGGCCAAAAGGCTGTGCATTGTGGCTTACTGAGTTCCATCCTTGCTTCTGAAGCCAGCAATGGAATCATGTGTGTATGAGTGTAGGGAGTATGGGTATGTATGTGGTGTATGTGTGGTATATGTATGTGTGTAATGTTTAGTATATGTGTATGGGAGGTGTGTATATGTATGTATGTAGTGTGTATGTATTATTTATGTATGTGTATGGTGTTTAGTGTGTATGCTTGCTGTGGTGTATGGATGTGGTGTGTGTACGGTGTAGGATATTTGTGGTGTGTATGTGGGGGGGTAGGGTGTGTGGTATATGTGTAGTATGTGTATGTATTGTGTGGTGTCTGTATGTGTATGCTTGTATGTATGGTGTGGTGTAGGTATGTGTAGTGCTTGTGTGTGTAGTGAATGTGTATGTATGTGCATGCATCGGGGATTGTTTGTGGTGTGGGGTGTGTGTGTATATGTGTGTGTGTTGGAGTGTGTTGTATAGTGTGCGTGTGAATGGTGGGGTCTGTGTGTGTGTCTGTGTCTGTATATATGTGTGTGTGTGTGTGTGTGAGAGAGAGAGATTTGTGGTCTGACCACTAGGGGGCGTGTGAATGGTTGCTGCACATCAAAGACAATAACAGCAGAGGAAAATAGCTACTACCTAGTGAGCCCACAGAGTAGTTGGAAAAATGAAGCCTTGTATGAGGCTCAAGTGACTCTTAGTTATATCAGGGATCTATGTCTGTAGGTTTCTGAGCCTTGTCTGATTGCTGACTACTTTTGTCTTTTCCACCAGACTCCCAGCTCTCTACTGGAAACTGTGTGGGCTGGCTCAGCTCTCTTGTTTCCCTGATGCTGGAGTTACCAGGGTCTCCCTTGCTGCTGCCCAGGGACCCGGCACTGTCACCTCATACCGACTTGACCTCTGTCTCAGCAGGCACCTGAAGATGTGTCTCGTCTTCTAGCTTCTGGACCTGGGGAACTTGGTGTGATGATAAACTTCTGTGATCCATGACTAAGCTGGGAGATGAAGGAAACCACATCCTTTAATTCTTAAATCCTCTTTGGCTTTTTGGCATTTAGGAGCAGGATTAAAGCTGTCAAGATGTAGATTTGCTGAATCTCTTTATGGATTAAGGTTGTTGACATATGAATATGGCCTTATCAGTGGAGGGCTCTCAGTGCCAAGCCAGGCCATGTGGACTGTTCTGCGAAGAGTGGGTGCCTCCAAATACATGTGGGTACTTGAGAGTAGCATGCTGCCCGTGGCTGTCCTCTGGAGCACACACAGAACTTGAAGCCCTGGCTATGCTCTCACACAAGGGACCATCTGGCAGACCAGTTGTTCTGGACGGGAAGAATCTCCATTTTGAGCGTTGGCTACTCACTTTAATCACGTCATTCTCTCAGGGGATCCCTCACAACACAGAGAACTGACCGCCCCACCTCAACAATGTATGCTGGGCAGAAGCAGCTGGCGTGTCCCATTTCTCTCTATAAAGTTAAACCCTGCAGGAGGAGTTCATCTCCTCATGGTTTGGCAGAGTGACTGAGGAAGACCGAGGTTAAAGTAACAGGGAACAGGAAATGATGCGGTTTCCTCACAAGTCAGCCACTTCCACTGCCTTGCTTCCCTGGGGTGGGCACCTCCCCACCTCGGCATCTCCCTCTTCCTCTTGGCTGACAGTCCTGCCACCCTATCAGTGGCTTTCTGCATGCCTCCTGTCCTTCATGTCTACACTCCACGTGCTCACCCAGTTCTTCTCTTGGCCTTTTCCCCGCTGTGTGCCTCCCTGGACTCATTTGCCAGTGCCCCTCTCATGCCCCCTGCCCCGCTTCATCTGTGCGTCTGCCAGTCCATACTTCTGGCCTTTGTTTGCCACCTTTCTTGTTTGTTCAGGCTCTTGCCCTCTTGTCTGTTTTGACTGATTGCTCCCCAGTGGACTCTCACTTCCCGCCTGCTTATCTATTCTTTTCCGTCAAGGACAGCTGGCCCTGTATCTGAGGGGCAGATGTGCCTTTGGGTCTCTTATTTCTCCTTGGCAGCTTCCTGTGTTCACACCCAACTATACCATGCCCTGTTCCTGTGGGTCTGCAAGTTCCTTGACCTCTCCTGCTTCTGTGCCTGCCTTTATAACAGGAGTGGTGTTGGCACACCCCTTGCCGATTCCTTAAGAAGGCTCAGCGAGCTGCTAAGTGCATAAGCAGCATCAGAGAAGTTGTCCGATAAACATCAGCTCTTACTATTACAATAATGTAATATAATTAATTGCATTAATACTCTACTGTTTTACTGTATTATTTATTATTCTGCATTACTTTGTTATACTGTGTTAATATTATACTGTCCTGATATTTAGGTCCCCAGGAGATCCTCAAAAGCAGAAAACACAGAGGCAGCTTCTGATAGAGGGGCAAGGTGAGGGCGGCTGTGTGGGGACAGAGGACATGCCCCATATTGGCTTAGATCATCTTATCCACCCTTTCTACAGACTCTAAAGGAAAGTTCATGTCTGTCAGGGAGACAAAGATTGTATTCTTCCTTTCCAGATAAATGACAACACAAAGAACAAAGTAGATTGGGTAAACATTGACTTGGTAGAAATTTCCTTTAAAACCCAGTGAATCAAAGCCAAGCAATGCTCAGTAGGTTGGCACACCATCTGTCTGTTCCCTTCCAAAACTCCATCAGGATTCCTAAATGTAGTTTGGATTTCGAGAACATCTGGAATCTGCCAAGCACATATTTTAAGCTCTGACATTATAATCTGTGTTTCTTGCTACTTGCTTATTCCTGTTGTCTGTGCATCAACTCCCAAAGATGAGTCTGATCAGCCCCATCTAATCAGACAGTGTCAGACCTGAAAGTGTATTGCGAATGTGTGTTTGTGTGTGTGTGCTCTGAATCTTTGTTTCTGATCATAGAAGTAATAATGTTCAATTATTGAAATGTTAGAAAATAAGAAATTGGTAAAGAAATCATCAAGCAGTCATGGCCTTGGCCTATAACCATACTGATGAAGATTTTGCTTATCACCATAGATCCTTCATTCGACGATGGATGGCGATACAGACGGAAACCCACAATGGAGCACCGGACTGAGCCCCCCATGGTCCAAATGAGGAGCAGAAGGAGGAAGAACATGAAAAAAAAAACCTCAGGACCCGAGGGGTGCGATCACCCACTGATACAAGGGGACTGATCTAATGAGAGTTCACCAAGGCCAGTTGGACTGGGACTGAACGAGCACGTGATCCAACCAGATTTTCTGAATGTGGCCGGATTCTCTGAATGTGGCTGGCCCGGAGCCTTTCTGAAAAGCCATTGACAATGACACTGGTACTTGTTTCCTCTGCATATACTGGATTTTTGGGATCCAGTCTGTTTGGATACTCACCTTCCTGGACCTGGAAGGAGGGGGGAGGAACTTGAACTTCCCACAGGGCTGGAAGCCCTGACTGCTCTTAGGGATGGAGAGGGAGGAGGAGGGGGAGGGGGGAGTGGGAGGGTGTTGGGAGGAGGGGCGGAAATGGAAACTTTCATAATTTAATAAACTTTGAAAAAAAAAGAAATCATCAAGCAGTCATAATTTATGCATGCAGAAATATATACTTGATATTTTAATTTCTGAAGGATCAAATGTATATACATATATGTAGTATATATATTATATATGAAGAATATATGCACATATACACATACCTGTGCTACACTATGCCTTTAAAATACTAATCAGGACCATGCTGAATATACATTGAGAATATTGGTTATTTTAAGTAATTTATACTTGACAATTTTTTCTTTTTTTTTTAAAGTTTATTAAATTATAAAAGTTTCCATTTCAGCCCCTCCTCCCAACACCCTCCCACTCCCCCCACTCCCTCTGTTCCTCCCTCTCCATCCCCTAGAGCAGTCAGGGTTTCCTGCCCTGTGGGAAGTTCAAGTTCCTCCCCCCTCCCTCCAGGTCCAGGGAAGGTGGGAGTCCAAACAGACTGGAGCGCCAAAATCCAGTATATGCAGAGGAAGCAAGTCCCAGTGTCATTGTCAATGGCTTTTCAAAAAGGCTCCGGGCCAGCCACATTCAGAGAATCTGGTTGGATCACGTCCTCGTTCAGTCCCAGTCCAACAGGCCTTGGTGAACTCTCATTATATCAGTCCCCTTGTATCAGTGGGTGCTCGCATCCCTCGCAGTCCTGATTACTTTTTTTATTTTCTTCATCATTCTGTTCCTCATTTGGACTGTGGAGTGCTCAGTTCGGTGTTCCAATATGGGTCTCCATCTGTATCGCCATCCAACGTCGGATGAAGGTTTCCTGTGCCCTTGCCTTCTTTGCTCACGGTCTTTTTCCTTCTGCCTCTCATTTGGACCTAGGGAGCTCGACCTATGGAATCGAATAGAAGACCCGGGTATTAACCCACAAACTTATGAACACCTGATTTTTGACAAGGGAGCTAAAGCTATACAATGGAAGAAAGATAGCATCTTTAACAAATGGTGCTGGCATAACTGGATGTCAACCTGTAGAAGAATGAAAATAGATCCATATCTATCACCATGCACAAAACTCAGGTCCAAATGGATAAAAGACATCAACATTAATCCGACCACTTTGAACCTGATAGAAGAGAAAGTGGGAAGTAGTCTACAAGATATAGGCACAGGAGACCACTTCCTAAGCAGAACCCCAAGAGCGCAGACAATAAGAGAAACAATAAATAAATGGGACCTACTGAAACTGAGAAGCTTCTGTAAAGCAAAGGACACTGTCAGTAAGACAAAAAGGCTACCTTCTGACTGGGAAAAGATCTTCACAAACCCTTCAACAGATAAAGGTCTGATCTCCAAAATATACAAAGAACTCAAGAAACTAGACACTAAAACTCTAATTAACCCAATTGAAAAAATGGGGTACTGAACTTAACAGAGAATTCACAACAGATGAACTTCGAATGGCTAAAAAGTACTTAAGGACAATTTTTTCTTATAACATTTGAAAACTGCCTTATTTGTGGTAGATGTATGCTGTCTCAGCTCAGTTCCCACAAGAAGCAGATGCCAAGAGGTTCTTTTAAATTTATTTTAATATATATACATACACACACACACACACACACACACACACACACACACATATATATATATATATGAATATTTTGTCTGATGTATGTCTGTGTAATATGTTCATGCCTGGTTTCCAAAGAGGCCAGAAGAGGGTGTTGGATCCCCAGGTTACAGACAGTTGTGAGTTGCCACGTGGGTGATGAGAATTGAACCTGGGTTCTCAGGAAGAACAGCAAGTACTCTTAACTGCTGAGTCATCTCTTCAGCCCCCATTCCAAATTTTAATTAGATTCTCTCTCTCTCTCTCTCCCTCTCTCTCTTTTTCCACTGTGTGTATGTATTCAGGTACCTAGGGCGGCCGGAAGACAGTGTTGGATCCCTTGAAGCTGGAGTTACAGGATTTTGTGAGCTATTCAATGTGGATGTTGGGCTCTGAACTTTGGTCCTCACAACAGAGCAATGCAAGCTTAACCAACTCTTAACAAGTGCTCTCCAGCCTCTAATAAGATCAGAGGAATTAAAAAACAAACAAACAAACAAAAAACCCCTGAGACAGGGTCTCAAAGATGTATGTTACTATCCTGGAACTTGCTGGGTAGACCAGCCTGGTTTTGAACTTATAGAGACCTGCCTATATACTGGGATTAAAGGCGTGTGTCTCCATGTTCAGGTGTTCAAGAGAGGTTTATGGTGGCATGAAACACTGGGAGATCTCTCTGCACGACACAGCGTGAGAGGGAGCAGGGCTAGGTAAACGAGGTGAAGCAGGGCTTAGCGCTGCTAGTGGAGACCCACAAGGAAGGGATGGGCAGGAGGAATGGTTTCTAGAGGGTCTTGCTCAGGCTGATGGGTCTCAAAGGCTGGGCACAGCTTGATTCCAGTTCCTTTTCTTTTTTCTTTTTTGGCTGTTGACAGGAGCTAGCATGACCTTGACGCGATGAACTCGGCTCTAGTTCTAAAGGGAAGCATTTGAAGGCTTACAGTTGACTACACTCCCAGCTGAAGATTCTTCTGAAGGCTATTTAGTGGTTCAGCAACCTGGCCATTACAGGTATATGATCCTAGCACCAGCAGGTGGAGGCGGAGGCCTAGAATTTCAAGGTCATCCTCAACTGCACATCAAGTTTGAGGCAGCCTGGGCTACATGAGAACCTGGTTCAACAACAATAAAAACAACTTTAACAAAAAGGTGTTTCTTATATATGAATCTTTGTGTTCTTCTCTCTAAGACCCCTTTAAAAATAAACTAATCTATAGACTTCTGCTTAACCATGATACGTTGTTTTTCTCAATTACCTCTCAAAACTTAATAAAAAGCAAAAATCTCTCCGCAAAGTCGAAATCAATAAATTGAATCCACGAGGAGACAGCAGGAGATGAGGAGTTCAGACGAATTTTAGAAGAGATGGATGCATGTTATGAATAACATGTTAGCTGCTAATCAAAGGGAAGAGAGCGGAAACCCCAGGTGCCTGCAGAGGATAGCAAATGAACTGAAGAAACCAGGGACATCTAGGAGCTCCGAGTGCCATGTATCTGGGGAAGAGTTTAGGCTAAAGAGTCTGTATGAGACGAGTGACCTCTCCATCATCTTGATCACCCCTGGATACCATGACATCCTAGGAAATTAGAGATTTAATCACTAAAGTATCATGAGTTCAAGTCCTGGGCTACAGAGTGAGGACCCTCCCCCCCAATAAAACTGGATTGTACTGGAATCTGGATGGAAGCAAATGCCTCCTCTAAGAATTCATGAAAATTGATATATTCATATATTAAGATTTGTCTCAGACCAATAATGTCCTATTAGAGTTATACAACATCAAACCTGGCAACCCTGAATTTTCAGGGTTAGAGGATACTCAATATTATCTCACAACTTAATATTGTATGAACAGTCTATCACGAGTAAGAGTCAGCAGACACAACAAATATAAAGATTAGTGTTTGTAGAATGTCTGAGATAAGATAATACACATTTGCTGTATTTTAGGATTGAGGAAGGAATAAATAAATACCTAGTACTAGAAATGGTAGGGGAATGTTTAGGGCTTTGTGAGCCAGGGCTAGCTCATGAATACTGAAAGAAATCTCAGGGCCTGAGTGTGGAGGCTGAGATGGCACCCTAGAGGGCCCCTTATTTTTATTTCATGTGTGTAAATGTTTTTCTTGCATGTATGTGTGTGTAGTGTCCTTGGAAGGCACTGACTCCACTGGAACTGGAGTTACAGAAGGTTGTGGGTCACCATGTGGGTTCTGGGAAATGAACCTAGGTCTTTTACAAAATAAACAAATGCCGTTAACTTCTGATCTACCTCTCACTACATACTTAAAAAAAATCTTATTCCAAATCCCCTGTGATTTGTTCTGTAGGTGAAATTGACAGGAGGCTGTGGTAAAGTTGACCCACAAGGTCTATGGAATAACTATGAAATCTCATGTCTCCCCGAAGGCCAAGGGTAACAGTTGAAGCATCCTCAAGGCACGACGCTCTGGGCGGTTTTACATATTTGAGCCGTCCTCTCTCTTATGAAATGATAAACTTACAACTGTGGAGTTGGGAAGGATTTAGATGAACAGACAGAGGCGTCCCATGGAAAGACGAGTCCTATGCATGGTCATGGGCAGTGGTATTGCTCAGAATTCAGTTCTAGCCCTGTTGGCCGAGTGACCCCAAGCAAATGAAGCACTCAGCGTCTTCGTCTGTGAACTGAGGATATACTCTCCCTTCATCCCAGGATAACTATGAGGGTCAAATGAGTTTATACTTGCTCCATTGGGAACAAGTTCCATATCAGTGTAATCTGCTAAATAAACGATAACTTTTTAAATTATTTTTCAAGACAAGGTTTCTTTGTGTAACAGTTCTGGCTGTCCTGAACTAGCTCTGAGACCTCGAACTCACAGAGGTCTGCCTGCATCTCTGCCTCCCAAGTGCTGGAAATAAAGGCATGCAGCACCACTGCCCGGCTATGAGTAATAATCTTTAATCCAGTAGGGCCACGGCCTCCCAAAGATAGATTCTATCTGGGCCTCTTCTCAGGAATTTTGGACCACTGGTGACATGAACATAGAGTTCTCCCCGTGTCCTACACAAAGCTCCTAGAGACAGGACAGGGTTTCCTGTGTCATCAGTGTTAGGGAACCTCTCAGTCCCCTTATTTTCAGCACAAAGAAAGTGAGACCCAGGAAACCTTGGTCACGTGTTCAGCTCCACACAGCTGGTTTGTGGCATGGCCACAGCCAGAGCACTGACTCCAAATACATTTTTTTTAAGCTGAAATTACTTTTCCCCATCCGTAAATATCTGATAAAGTCAAGTATGCAGGCCATTTGGTAGAAGGAAAGAATTAATGATTAAGCCTCCTTCTGAATAAATCGATTACACTCATTAGCATGCTTCCATATTACAAATTATCTAATCATTATCCTTACTAAGAACACTCGGTGCCGAACATAAATGTCAGCTCTGAGAACGTGAGCTGGGTTGGTGGTGATTTTGTCAGCAGCTAGTTAAGTATTTCCATCTTTTGGTCTTTCATTTACCCCCTTGCTTCTCTTCTTCTAGTCCCTGGAATGCTGTTAAGTAGCACCCCTATCTAATCAGTGTTGTTAAAACCCATCACCTTCACACATCTGGATTTCCCTTCTAGCTTCTATTTGAGTGCGGTCCTACTCTTGCCATACACACATATATTTTCACAGTACTTGGAAAGCTTCGAAGTCTGCTTTTCTCGTTTTTATAAACGTCATTTGCAAATGTTATTTGTAAACATTTGCTATATTCAAAAAATATCCCACAAATGCACACTTTAATGGATACATATATTATTCTAAAATTATAGTATCAGTTCCCTATTGCTGACTTCTGGGTTGCTTCATGAACGTGGCATCACGACACATTCCCTTGCAGTGCTGGCTGGGGCTGGGACCCAGGCCCTTGGATATGCTAGATGAGCGCTTGGCTACCCATCTTCATCTATAGCCCCTCCTTTTTCTTTTCTTTTAATTTATGGCCAAAGGGCATATACTGAAGATTGAGGTTATGTGGCCAGATGTACTTTTATAGCCAGATATTTTCCTTTTGACGGTGGCTCCAGCTTTTATGGGCATGCCAGTTTGATCCCACTCTCTTTCACCCTGAGTACTTAGCAGCTTGTACTCACAGGCAAGTGCACTTAAGCCAGACACGGTTTATTCACGTGCTGATAAGCCATCACTGAGTGTTATTGGGATGATATTTCCTGGAGATTTTCCCTGTTTGATTTCATACTCACTTGGCAAAAACCTGTAGACACTATAGTTTTTATTTATGTAATTTAGCACTTTGTAGAACAATCGATCGTTCAGTGCTAACTTAGTGGTCATTTCATACCCTATAAGATGCTGACAATCTAGGAGGATGGTGCTGTGGTACTTTACAATAGAAGAAGGGAGTAGGAAAGGTCAAGAAAAAGGAGATGGGGGAGAAATATGGGAAAGGAACATCAAACCTCCCTGGGAGGCAGACAAGGAACAGGCCACACTCACAATGTCCTGACCGGGTCTCTTCTTGAACTTGAATTTCCCTGCTCTGTCTGTCTCCCACCCCAGCGTCCTGCTGGCCCAGCTTCCCATATGTTTTCTCTTCCCCTGGTTGTACTGTACCACAGTCCATTTGTGCTAGACGCATCATGGCATTTGTGAACTATGGAAGCTCTTTAATGAGTTCTGCTTAATGGGCTTCCTTAGGCAGCAGTATCTCTGTCCCCTCTAGAAACGATGCCAATTCCTGTTCTTGGTGCCTTCTGGGTGCAGCTCACAGGCTGCTTCAAGCTGTGCTCTGTCCGTCTCTTTCCCTTTCCTTGAGTTGTTTGGTCAAACATATGAGATTGTTTTTGAGAAATGTCCACAGTTTGGTGCTGGAGAGATGTAGGGACTAGAGGAAGCCCTGGGTGAGTGAGTTCTGCGTGAATGTGTGTTGTTGACAAGGGCAGGTCTGTGCTGAGGACTGCAGCCTTTGGACCTATAGGGAAGAGGGAGAGCCATTCCCCGATATGGGCAGGACTCGAAAAGGGTATTAAAGCTTTTCTTGAGAGTTTGAGTGTTTATTAATGATAGATAATGATAGATAATGATAATAATAGCAACTGCACTTCCTCCACGCTGATGTTTACAGCCTGATGCTACAGAGACCTCCTACCGAGGCCAGTTAACCCCTGACATAGTGCTGTATGTTCATAACAAACACACAGAGGTTCTTGGTTGAGGCAGTAGGAGACTCCCACCCAGTTCCGATCCACTGTACATGTATGTGTCTGTCTTTTCTTCATTCTCATCACAGTCCCAGAGCCTAAGCCATGCAGGATGCTGCTGAGAGATCGCTCAGTGGTAAAGAACACTCGCTACTCTTGTAGAGGATATGGGCTCCATTCCTAACAACCGCATGGTGACTCACAACTATCAGACTCCAGTTCCAGAGAATCTAACCCCCTTTTCTGGCCTCCACAGGCATCAGGCACACATATGGTGCACATACAAACAGGCAAACTACTCATATGCATTAAAAAAAAAACAAGGCTTTATTTTAAAAAATGTTTCCAATTAATTCTACTCTTAGATCTTGGCTGCCATTCTGGCTTGTTAAGCAAAAACATATTTAAACAATATGACAAAAGTGACATTGTGACAGAGCTATAAAAGGCCTCAGGGTGCCTTTGCACCTTGAGGCTCCTAGAATAGCCTTGATCCTTGCTGGGTGGTGTTTCATCACCCCTTCACCTTTGACAACGTACAGCCTACTTTCAGAAACTGAGCTGTCCCACTGACTTGGACCTGACCCTTGGAGAAACTTAGCAGAGCCCGCAAAAATCCCCAACTGTAGAAATGTGGGTTTACAAAGCGATTGGCGTGCTAGAGCATAGAGTTCCGAGGGGAACTTGTAGTGGAGCAGCAGCTGACAGCTACTGAGTGTTGATCTGGTCCCAATATGCTTGCGCCACCTGTGCTGTTTTGTAATTACGTAATTTAATTGAATATTACTTTAAAGAATGGCATATGGATATGAAAATGAAGAAAATTACCCCACTGAAAATGAAATCAAATGCATTGTGGAGACTTGATAAAAATGTTGCCTTCCACATGTTGTTATAGAAGATGTTGATGTACCACCTGTTTAAAAAAAAAAAAAACAACAAACTAAAAACCAAAGGGAAAGCCATACCGTCAGAGGGTTCCCACTCAGACTAATTCCTATGGTTTTAAGTTTTTATCCATGTGAACAAATTGAAACTGGATGTTATAATTGGATCATATTATAAG